GCGACATTCGGAAGGAGTGCTCCCTGACAATAGCATGTGCTCGGCATGGAAATGCGCGGGAGGGTCTTATCTCAAGCAAATATTAACATAGCGTAAACCCAAGAGAAGTATACCAAACTAAGGTCGGGTGTGCCGCACTAGATGATGATTGGAGTCTTACACAAAAATACTGATTCTTAGTCAATTTTCAACAATTTAATTATGCCATCGATTATTATCGCTAGAAAGAGATATGTCTAATTTATTTCCAATATTCAATGGAATTTCTGACATGTTATTAACTTTGCAATAGCATTCATAGCAATAAATCGCCTTTCAGAGTTCATCATCGACTTAGGCGCATCCTTTTATGTTTCATTTGTACTCTTCAGCAGCCTTTCTATAGATCGGTTTTCATTCATAAAACTTGCAGGACGAAGATAACTTATGGTAGATGCCTGAATTTGGGACTGGGTTAAGCAACTGATCTTGGTTTTGAAGGATTTGCGGTGTCAATTAAACGATTTCATTTGGCTTAGACATTAGTCCGTCTCTAAGCTGAGCCGCGTGCCTGGCTAAGCCACCTTGGCCACAATCTGCCTCGAGTGGCTGCACTTCAGCCGGGACAATAAGGCACTTCAGTGTGCGCTTTATGCCTAAGTCCTTAAGCGGTTAAGCAGCCAGCAGAACAAGAGGACAACATCTTGACCCGGTTTACTTAACACTTTGATAAACCGCTTAGCAAGTAGCTGCGGTCGACCTAAGCCCTGCCTGTGCATAATCAGATCGTTTCTATAAAGATAGTTCCCAATAGATATGTATCTGTAAATATATGTTTGTATGTATGTAAATGAAGATATTCATTCATTCATAAGCCTCATCTGTGTGTGCTCTCGAAGGCTGCTCCCATAAGGATAACACATGTTTCCATTTGCTGCTGTTTCAATTTTAGCTACAACTCCCCCCATCCCCCAACCAACAAGGTCTGGCTGCATACGTTTCCCTGGAAATACATATACTGTTACTTTCTCCACGTGTTCACTCGCTCTACTTCTCTCTCTCACTCTCTCACTCTGCTCCTGCTGATCTCAGCCTGCTTAGCCAGCTCCTTCAACTCCTGCTGTTACATGTTTTGACTACAGCACACATTGAGACATCAACTGACAATTGTCGCATCGACAATTTTGACAGTTCTTCGCAGTTGTTTCCAGTTGTTCCCACTTGTTGTTGTTCGATGAATGTGCAACTCGCCAGGCAGCAATTTTTTTTTTTTTTTTTTTCCATTGATTGAGTTGTCCTTCGCTTCTCGTTCATCCTTATTCAGCAGTTTCTCAGCACTGTCGCACTATATGCATTCCTCGTAGTGCCTTTGTGGCTTTCTTTAGTTGGCCAACTTCAATTTGATAATGGGCCAAAACATAGACAAATCTGCTCAAGATTTGCTTACACAATTCAAAGTGTGAGGTCCCAGCTCTCTGAAAGACCTATAAAACGACAATTGCTACAATGACAGCCCGGAAACAGCTCAATCAATAGCCCAAGAAGATCGAACACAAACTATTTTCATACAATGTGCAACTATTAAAAGATACTATGGAATCAGTATATATGTGTATATGAATAAGATATATGAGCTATAGTTATTGATGAGTTTCCAAACAATAGTAGAGAACCCATCATGACATATTCATTTTGTCGGCCATAAAATTTGGTTCGATTTTTTTATATTTAAGTTCAAACACATTAAAATTTCCCATAATTATTTATTATAGATCAAATATTTCACTGCATCCCATTTTGCTTCCATTTATTTAATCAGCACCACAATTCATAACCTATTTTCGTTTATTTATAACATAATCCACAACACGTTCCAATGCCCATCTTCCCCTTCCAGTCACTTAGCAGTAAAGCAGCTAAATCGCAAACGCTAACTATCGCCTTTCCCATTAGCATATCAACCTGTCTCCTCTCTACTCTAATTTCAGCAGCAGCGGCTTCCAAGATCCAAAAATCACAACAAATCCTCATTGACTTTTGGCAACAAAATCCACAGTGTAGCTATCTCTCTCCTTCCCCATTCCAGTCAATCACTAGCAGCAGTTGCATTCCAGCTGTTAAGCTCCACATAAAACGCCATATTTATTTGGCTTTTATGTTCTATTCTGTGTGTGTGTTAACAGCCGTTTTCTTTCTTACTCTTTACTCCATCTCCATCGCACGCAGAACAAAATATAGCCTCTCTCCCCTGCCCTTTCTATAACCCATGCATCACACGGCAGCATATTCCCATTACTTTTTACAGCTTATTCCCCTACCCCTGCCCACTCTCTTCAGGCTTTACAGTTAGCCTAAATCTTCATTTAAATCAAATTAATATTTGGCAACAATTATATAAATAGAAAATTTTTCATGTACATAAATATGTTTGTATAATGTATGATTGTTAAAATTGGAATGCAACTCACACAATGTTAGCCACGCACACACATAGACTGGATGCCCACGCTTCGAATTTAATTCGCTTTTATTCACTGCATCACTTTATATCACAGCATAAAACACTATTTAATTATTGGCACTACACTATCTACACATATTGCACTATATATTTGTACACAAACACTTTAATTTAATACACACACTCAACAAAAAAATAAAATAAAATTACGCACGCCATTATTACGACCCACGCACAATAGACAAACTAATTAGCGATGCCAAAGGATTCGATAGTTAAGCAACAGCGATTAATCGATCTGCATTTGCATATCCCATTGTCACGTGCACTCGCCCCCACGAATGGAAACACTTGTGGAATGCTGCCCTGGCGATATTTGCATTTAATGTCGCCGCAATGTCAAAATATTGTTGTCCTTGATCCCTATTCGAGTGCAACATTTGTTAGTATTATGTTGCGCTTACCTTTCACTAACTTAAGTTGACACCTCATTTCGCTTCTTTACGTTCTTCGTTCTTCTTTTTGGGGGCTTAATGCGATTAATCGGCGACGATTGCTACGATTGTGACAAATGCAAATGCCATTGTTTGAATAACGACAGCATTTAATCAGCCTGTTGGTTGCTTGGAAGGGTATGATGTAACTGTAGGGGGGAGGGGAGGGGGAGGTGTTCCGCATGAAACTGTTGTGCGGCATAGCGATGGGAGCACTGGGCTGAGTGTGTGCATAAAACGGGCAAACCTTAAGCGGGTAGCGTTAGCTGTGTGTACGAGTGAGTAAGATGTGTATGATGCAAAGCGCATAAGCTGTATGCGCATGTGTGTGGGTACTATGTATGCATGTGTGTGAAATTAGTTTGGCAACTTATTAGGACTCTTAGCTGCCGACGCATGTGCAATAGGTGTGTGTGTGTGTATGTAAGAATGGAAGTGGGCAGACTACATACATATGTACATATGTATGTATATTAAGCTGTAGCTCAATCGGGTATGATTCGTGTGAAGCGGCTGAAACGGTTGCATGCAAAAAAAAAAGCATTTGCTATATGCATACATATGGATACGTGTGAAGCAGCTAAATCGGTAAAAGCAAACCGATGAGCGTTTGTTAGCAGCAGACGCATATACATATACATATGTATGTATATACGTATGTAATATAATTGTATGGGAAGCTGAAACGGGTAAACTATAATATCAAGCTGCAACTCAATCGGGCAAAGCTAAGCGGTTTGCAATAACACTGGCAGCGCAGTAATAGATGAGCATGAATGAGAGAGATGGAGCTAATAACTGCTTGAGCGTCTGTGTATGTGTGTGAAGCAATTGAATCGAGTGCAGCTTGAGCTAAGCTGCGACCTTGTGCATGTGTGTGGAGTAAATTTAGTGATGGAACTATTAGCAGCATAAGTCTGACTGTGTATGAGCGTAAACTGTGTGTGTAGAGCAAACTTGTAGATGCAATATTCGCTGTATGGGCGCAATTGAAACGGGTGCAATTGTATGTGCGTGCGTGTGTGAGTGTGTGTGCGTGTGCTGTCGGCTTTCACTTTTAAGCCTTAAGCCAGTTTTCTTATCCAATTTTCCAGCTACAGTTCGAGCATCGCATTACGTAGCGGAAATCCTTTCGGTTTCTTCCGCTCTTCCCTTTCTAGACGCCGTAACGCGATGCTAACAAGATTAATGAAGGGGGTGCAGACGGCCAAAAGGACAAGCAGGTCCTGCGCACAGGCGCACACACACGCACACGCACACGCACACGTGTATTCTGCTTGGTCATTGTCCTTTTTTGCGCTAGGCAAATAGCGTCCCGTCTACAATTACAAATTTGTTGTATTTCTATCATTTCGTCCTTTATTTTTAATGGCCTTTACCTGTTTGGACGGGAAATTCGATGCATTGCAGCCCAGCCGGAAGTTTGATCATTCGTTTTGCTTTTTATTGCAATTGTTGAAAACCTAACCTCAAACCCTTTTCGCTTGACATCCTTGAAGCATATCGAAAATGTCGCGTGCACAACTGCCAAAATAAACAACAGCAACTAATGATCATTAGCAAGCAGCTCTAGACGGATATTTTTGAAATCGGCAAGGATCAAACGTAAAATGGTTTGAGGTTATGTTCGTGGATCGATCATTGGATGGGCTAGCAGAGAACGTGACTGATTATAACTGTTGCATTTTTATTTTAGTTTTATTTTTTACATATAATATGATATATATACATTATTATATATATCATAAATAAATAAAAACGTTACAATTTATATTTTCTGCAGCTCTTTTAACTGCCTTTGCTTTATTTCGATATATATTTTTCATGATTTTTGGGTTTCGTACAAACCATGTGACTTAATAAATATTAAAAAAAAAAAATAAAAAAAAAATAGAATCACAATACAGACTAAAATAAAAGAAGCATATATAAAGAATTGAAAGAAAGAGTGAAAAAAGATATATAGAAAGATTACAGATAAAGAGACACCAAAAAAATAAAAAAAAAATTATGTGACTTCCTCTATGAAAATATTTCGGTTTTTTTTTTTTTAGAATTTTTTGTTGTTTTCAATAGCGCTTAACTCATTGTCTCTGAGGCTGTGTTGGAGTTGGGAGAAACATACATATATATATATTTGCATATAGATATAGAAGTTAGGGTGCGTCGGGTTCCATCGGTTCGAAGTAATCATCGTATCGTATCTACGCAGCTGTCGGATATTGGCGTGGCTCCAGCGAAATATTGAAGCCGTTCTCCAGCTTCAGAATGATGTCCGCCTGCAGCTTGAAGTCGGCCTCCGTGTCGGTCGAGTGGATGATGAAGTTGCGGACGATGGTCGAGAGCAGGACCTTCAGCTTCAGCATGGCGTACTTGCGACCGACACAGCTGCGCGGTCCGGCGCTGAACGGAATGAAGCTGTAGTAGTGCCGCTTGGCGGCCCGCTCCGGCAGGAAGTTGTCGGGATCGAACTTCGTTGGATTCTCATAGATGTCGGGACGACGATGCACACAGTACTGGAGTACAACGCATGTAGTGCCCTTGGGCACCGTGTACGGGCCGCTCGCGAGCTTCACATCGTGATCGAGGCGTCGGGCAATCAACGGCACTGGCGGATACATGCGCAGCGTTTCGAGAATGACACGCTCCAGATACTTCATCTCCATGGTGTCGGCGAAGGTGCAGTCGCGCAGCATATTGTCACCGAAGATGGCCTTCTGTTCGGCAAAGACACGCTCCTGGACATCCTTGTGTATGCCCATCATGCAGAGCGCAAAGCTGGAGCCCGCCGAGGTGGTGTCGTGCCCCTCGAACATGATCGTGTTCACCTCGTCCATGATGTCCTTCTCGTTCCATTCGATGTCCGGATTCTTGGCCATTTCCACCATCGCATCGAGCAGGGCCAGGCGACGCTTGGCGCCCACATCGTTCTCATCGATGTCATCGAGATCATCGCGCAGTCCCTCCGTCTTGGTCGTCTGCTTGGCGGGCGTCGGCTCGGCGACATCCTCGATGATGGCCCGCGACTCGGGCGAGTAGTTCTCGTTGCGATCCTTGACCACCTTGCGCGTCATGCCCAGAATGATGTTCATCATGCGATCGCCCTTCTCGCGCAGCTTCGTGAACTTGTAGATCGAGTCGAGGCGATAGAGCAGCTTCACCTGACGCGTGTGGATAATGTCGCACATGTCGACCACGGCCTGGGCATACTCGAAACTCTTGTTGCCCTCGGGCAGCTTCTTGACGCCCATCGCTGTCGTCAGCAGAATGTCGACCGTCGTCTGGGACATGTAGTCGTGCACGTCGAACGACTTGCCCGCCTCCTTGGCCATGCGGGCGGACACCGCCTTCGAGTGGGCGACGAACGTGGGCACGAAGCTCTTCAGGATGCTCTGATGGAAGGTGGGGGCTATCATCTTGCGATGATGGCGCCAATGGTGACCGTTGCTAATCAGCAGACCATCACCGAACCAGGGCTTAAAGTATCTATATTCCTCGGCCTTGGTCAAGTGCTGGTGTCCGCTCAGGATCAGCTCGATGTCATTGGGATTGGTGAGGAAGACGAGCAGTACGTTGCCCAGCCAACCCTTCATCGTCTCGCCATACTTGTTCAGGTAGCCCAGGCCGACGGACAGAATCTCAGCGTTGCTCAGGCCGGCGGCCAAGTGGGCCATGCCGATCAGCGGCAGCGACGGCGGCGACGGTATATTGGCCACCATGCGGTATTCCCTGGTATTCCGATGCCAGTACTCGTACAGGGCCATCACAATGATCGTGCCCAGCAAGCCCGTCAATATGGGCGAGAAGCCGCCGCTCGACTTCGCCGCCTGTTGCAGCGTCTCCTGCACCGTTTCCACAGACATCCTTGAGCTGTTGACGTTCCTTTCTGGGTTCTGGTTGTCCTCCTGGTTCCTTGTCTTTGGCTGTTTCTGAGGCGCTCACTTCTCAACTGTTCGGTTGCGCTGCGAGTGCTCAACTGTATGGGATCCCTCGCTGGGTTTGGTTAGTTATACTCGTCCATCGATAGATGGACTATGCGCGCTGTCAACTTGACCTGCCCGCTTGATCCCGTGCAGTCTAGAGTCTAGCCTTCCCCCCAGCTCGAATTAAGCGTATGCCAATTACGCTCCATTTGCAAATCAAATGCGTAAGCGCATCCCTTGCGCTCCCCTCCCCCGCTCATTTGTCGCTGTCGCTTAAACACTTGTTTCTTATTGCCCTTCCTTCTTGCTCTACTCTTTCGCTTTCAGCTTTTCGCCGAGCCTACGTGATCGCAGACATCGCGTGTGGCTGGGAACGATGTTTTGCTCACAGCTAGAGATGAGCCCAAAACGTGCAAGTAAGCTGTAGGTTTATCGGTTCTATCGATCAATTTATCGATCTTCAAATTTGTCTAAGCTGCATTGTTCAAATGTTTTTCGCTTAGTATATTCGGAGTACAATTAATGTGATGCAATTTTAAGCCAATTTAATGTGTACATCAAATCGATAATATTATCGATTTTTATCGAGAAGGTAATTTTAATAGCCAAGTGCATTTCAGTTCCAAAAAACTCTCAGTGAGAAGAGAGGCAGCCTCACATAAATGTCTAAAGGCCATATACAACGTATCGATAAGTTATCGATAGCTCAAAGGCTAACGAAATTATTTATTTTTATAAGTTGAATGTCTCAAGTTTTTCATTAAAACACAGACTGTACTGACTTTACTTTTTATATGAGGATCTAATAAAAATCGATAAATATATCGATTGCATTTTTTGATAAATTATTTGTAGGTGAAACATCGGATATTATACAGACAGAAGAGGATCTCCACAAAGAGTAAGAGCAAAACACCGATAGTTAAATTGAGAATATCGATAATATATCGATCGCATTGCTGCTAAATCGACTTGGTTTGTTGAAATCAACTGTAATGATGACCTTTAAAGAGCTAAATAACAATGACAAATGGAGTTAGATTGGGTATATACAGGGTATCTATGTATATACAGGGTATTGATGCCACATTCAATTGTCGCGTGTCCTGAAGGACTCGCACACGTTCCATCTCTAGTTTCATACATTTCCGCAGGATGCGCTCGAGATCCCTCTCTCTCTCTCGCTCTCTGTTGCTCTCATATGCAAAGCAGGGATTACCTGTGCAAAAATCTACCTGCAACGGAAGTGGGTGATATACATATATATATACACATATATATATATATATATATATTTTTTTTTTGTTCGTCTAAATTTCCTTGTTTATTATGATTTGTTCTTTCTATTGTTCACGAATTTTTGCTTTCGCTTTTCAGACAAATTCAATTTCAGCTTATTTTTCACATATTTATTTATATATACATATGCATCTGTATGTGTGTGTGTGTGTGTGTGTTTGTATTTATTTTATTCGCTTTTGTTTTCAATGTAAACGGAACAATGCAGAGGAAGCTGTCGCTTTTAAGGGACTTGCTCCCTTGTTTACCTTTCGAGCACCCCCTCCCTCCGCCCTCGTCCCCTCTCTCACGCTCTCGAGCTGTGTCTGTCTGTCTGCCTGAAGTGCTCTTCAGCTCTATTTATAGAAATTTTCGCTTATTTACATCTCCAGCCCAGCCTCAGCTCTTCCCTATCTCTGAAGATCTTGAGCCTAGAAATATGCTTTGATTTGGCTTTGTTGTTGCACAGCTGAACGCCAATTGGATTCTGATTTGATTTATTTCATTTCAATTGGGCTCCCGTTAGATTAGATTAGATATGTTCTATCTGTAGTGCCTATTAATAGACTCTGTTCGAGTGAAACAAACAAAAACATTTCAAAGTTCAGAAAAAATTCTAGCTTGACTTGTGAAATACTTGGAATTAATATATGTATATATAATTGGAATTTATATATATGTATATATACTTGGAATTTATATATATACTTGAAATATATATATATGTAAGATCTAACTGAAATTTTCGGATCAGCAAATTCTCTTTCTCTCATGGAGATCCAGCACTTAACAGCTCTATATAAGCTCTCAGCCTCACACTAATACAAATGCAACAGCAGCAGGAGCAATTAGCACAGAATTAGGATGCTTTAAGAACAGAATATATCATACCACATATCATATAACAGAGATACATCATTCATTCTTCGAACTACTATAGACATATATACATATATACCCTTCCGATACCATTTACAATGTATATATATATGTATATATATTAGCTAAATATCTATTTCTATATAAATATTTTAAAAAAAAATTGAAACACTTTATTTTATTTGATAATTTTTATTTCACACAAAAAAATGCATTTGAGAAAATATTAAAAAAAAAAAAAAAAAAAAAAAAAAAAAAAAAAAAAAAGCGAACAGAAAATAAAATAAAATTGCGTCAGTTTTTCCGTAGTTTCCACGGCTCAGTTGAATGCGATGCAAAGGTCGAGGTCTTAAAGTTAAATCGTGTTCTTTGTGTGTTGTGTTTCTGGATTTGTTTTTGTTTTCTTTTGATTCTGTTTTCATTCATTTTATGGACTTCACATACATAGAAGATAATAAATTAGGTAAATGAATGCATTTAAATATTGTGAACGCGATTTGGATTTGTATTTGGATTAATGCTAATTTCATGTACTCCCTATAACACACACATTTTTAGTTGGGTATTATATATAGTCTAGTATACATACACATATATGACTTTTTGTTTTCGTTCTTGTTTAAAAAATGTTGGACACAGAAGCATGTGATTATGTCGTTATCATAATAATAATTATCATAGATATTCAATATATATGCATATATACACATATATATATATATATATATACCAGGCCATTATTATATATGGTTAATCTCCAACCTGATCTTCTATATCTGTTTTTTTTTAAACGGAATTTCATTACAAGCTAAAATTGTCTTTTATGAATTGTGTTGCGAATTTCTCTCGAGGACGTAAAACCACAGAAGTTGCAGAATATATCGATATCGATAATGATCGATATACACACGTATATATAGGTATCTTATGCATCTACTTAATGGAACACACAGCATGGGGCAACATTATCTCGTGTACATATTATATACAAAACAACATAAATTTAAAATAGGCACAAAATATACTGAAAGGGACAGACTATGTGTGTGTGTGTGTGTGTGTGTGTATTCGTGTGTGTGTGAATGCGTATTTGCTCCGTGCTGTGTCTCCATTTGTCGCACTCCTCTACGTGGTCTCATTTAGATGCGCACAATGTGCATCTTGGGTGAGCTGCGTCAGTTTCTGTGTAAACGTTGGAATGTCCTGCAAAACATAGAGAATTTGATAAGAATATTAGATGAAGACAAAGTCGAGAAGATATAGCTAGATTAGACATAGCTAAAATCTACATAATTTCTATATATTCTAACTAATATTCTAACTAATTAAACTTGAAATAAATATATTAAGATCTTCAGTAAACTCTATAAGATTCTATAACCTCTTAGCTAGTTAGCTTTTCTAGTTTTGGTTTTTTTGTCAAGTATACCTACTATAATAGGGTACTATAAAAGCTCTACTTTCTAGACACATTTACATAAAACAATGTTATGAGAAATTTCAGCTATCTATCTACTCCACCTATCTTTCAGTATTGCCTAAAAAGCGAGCTTCACATGATATTCAAAGATCTAGTATAGATTATATACATGTACTCAATGGTATCTAATGATATAGCTATAGATACTATATGTAGTGCCAGGATATTATCTATAATTATAGCTTACAGAATTTCTAGAAATATTAAATAAATATATCTCTTTAGCTATATCATTGAGAATGAATCAGGCACTCGACAATACTTATATATATGACAAATATCAGATAGAGAGCATTATATATCTATGACAAATATGAGCAAGATAGCTAGATAGAATATCTATAGCAGTTAACTATTCTGTAGCATATAAAACATATATGCCTATTGCTCAATCTAAATCGAATCTGAACTCGATATCCATAAACTTAAACTTGATCCAACGTACAGTTGTCTGGCATATATCCTCGAGCGTTGATTGCGCCACGGGCAGCGTCGCATTGACAAAACTCTCGAGCAGCTGGCGACGATCCACCTGGCCCATGGCGAACAGTGCCTGGGCAATCAGATCAAAGTGTAGTGCACCCTCGCCGCTCAACAGCAGATTGAGCAGGGCTCGCTGGAAGGAGGCCAACAGCTGCTCCTTGAACAGGGCACGCTGATACAGGCGACTGCGCTCGTTCACATTCTGCATGGAAAGGAGCACGCTGCGCACATTGCTGGGATCTGTGCCGCTGACCAGCATCTGGCCGTACGCATTCATGATGGCCATAAAGTGTTCCGGATGCAGATTGTCACTGCAATTGAAATTGTTCGGCTGCTGGCCATTCGCATGGCCGTTGCCATGGCCATTGCTCAGCTGATTCTTATAGAAGAATTGCCATTTGCAGGTGAGCACGCTAAGGTTGGGATGAGACCGAGAACGAAATCATACATGAAGAACATTACAGAGAGAGAGAGAGAGAGAGAGAGAGGGAGAGGGTAAGCTCACCTGTCGAAGAGCGCAAAGAGCAGGCTGGTTATCTCGCTGCTATCGGTGGCTACGTTCTGCTGCTGCAGCAGCGGAAGTATTTGCTGTGTGCTAAAGCCCAAAATGCTGGGCATCAGCGATAGGGAAGCGCTGCCCGGCTGCTCGACGACCAATTGAAACATCTGCAACACCTTCTCCATGACGGCCAAGCGGCTGAGCGTTAGTTGCTCCCTGCAACGGACAGAGAACATTATTTAGAGAGAGATGGCTATAGCTTGGTGTATATCCATATGGATGTGTGTGTGTGTGTGTGTGTGTGTGTGTGTGTACCTGCTGCTGACATCGATAAACAGCGTGATCATCTCCTTGATGAACTGTGCTCCCAAGTGCATGGGCAGAGTGCGCAGCATACTCAGGCTGAACTCGGCCACGGTGATGGCCATGGC